TTATGCGCTCTCCTATAAAAATTCACATTTTCCAAACGAAACCCAGTCCAAGCTTCAAATTTTCGGCATATTTACAAGATGCTTGATGCTGAGGACTCTGAATGCTTCATACAAATCAACCGGAATCCTGATTTTTGCCAGCTTAGTAAACATCGGCCCGATAATAATGTCTTGTCAACTGCGCTCCTTTAAAAATTCGCACCGTCCAAACCAATGAAAGAAGCAGTTTGAAATTTTCGCTTTCGTTAGAGGACACTTGACGCTAAAGATGCTGAAAATTCCATTATAAAGAGTCATAAAGAGAGTAATTCCGTCATAAAGAGAAAAAGTGTAGATTTCTGCTTTAGACTAGACACAATTCGGGCAATGTTCCTTGGATTTTTTGCAGTCAGTTAATGTGTAGCGTTGTAGCAACATCGCTACACATTGTGTGATACGATGAAGCTGTTGACGAACTAGAAACTGATGATGGTGGAAAACACCGAAACGTATTTTAATTGATAAATAGAGAATGATTGACTGAAGCCCAGGAATTGATTTTGATTTGGAATTATTAACATGGGCCTATTCTCCACTTTGCTGGGCCCAGCCTACGTTATTAAGCGAATATGAGGAAAACACCGGCAGGATTTTTTGCAAGGAAACCAGCAGGAGCCTCTCTAGGAAACATGCACTCACGAACCGCATAGAGTGGGCGCAATGTTGGCGTAATTTACACAAGACAGTTCATTCTGCTTCAATGTCCATCCATATTTTGCCGGCTGAAAAATTGCAATTGAAACAAAAATCATGATCAAAAGGCCCGATGTTCGATGCCAATAACGGGAAGAGTCAGCAGCACAATAAGCCGACGGTTGGAACTGGATGGACATTTCGAAGATTCTCCATGGAAATAAGCGTAAGTCACACGAAGAGCATGCAGGCATGTGGTGGAAAGATTAAATGTCTCGGCCACGGCATCGAACTAGCCATTTCTGATGGCAGATGTAATTAAAAAGTTTATTTCTGGTTTCGCCTGCCTGGCACGGATTTATTTAACTATTACTTTCCGTAGGATTGAAGAAGCTTGATCGCTGGTTCGATGAACCTAGACGACGCGCTTTGCATGGCTAGTTTTTACGACTGCAAATCAATACGCAAATTAAAAGAATGCCCGGTTAACAACTCGCCTATTCCGTCTCGTAAACATGCAAAGTCTCATGCAATGGACTTCTAGCTTTGTGGATGCTCCAATCGAACCAGATGACTARGAGGATTCGGGTTTTTACCAGTAAATGTGCATAAGCAGCGACTTTGCTTAGTCGTTGTTGTGACGAGAAACACTTGGAAAGTGGAGTRAAGATTTTTGGTTCCYGACTGYAAAAAATCCAAGAAACATTSCCCGAMTTGTGTCTAGTCTAAAGYARRWMTCTACACTTTTTCCCTTTATGACGGAATTACTCTCTTTGTGACTCTTTATAATGGAATTTTCAGCATCTTTAGCGTCAAGTGTCCTCTAACGAAAGCGAAAATTTCAAACTGCTTCTTTCATTGGTTTGGACTGTGCGAATTTTTAAAGGAGCGCAGTTGACAAGACATTATTATCGTGCCGATGTTTAATAAGCTGGCAAAAATCAGGATTCCGGTTGATTTGTATAAAGCATTCAGAATCCTCAGCATCAAGCATCTTGTAAATATGCCGAAAATTTGAAGCTTGGACTGGGTTTCGTTTGGAAAATGTGAATTTTTATAGGAGAGCGCATAATTAAGTTGGCACATTTGTTACTTGACTGCTATTTACTCAGCTGGCAAAAATCAGGATTTCGGTCGATCTCTATGAAACATTGGGAATCTTTAGCAGGAAGTATTGTCTGATTATGCTGAAAATGTTAAATTTCTGTTTGCTCGGGTTTGGAAGACGTGAATTTTTAGAGAAGAGAGCGCAGTTTAGCAGACGCATCCAGTACTGGACTCATTTTAACTTAACTGGCAAAAATCAGGGTTCTGCTAGATTTCTATGAATCACTCAGAATCCTTAGAATCGAGCATTATCTAAATATGTTGAAAATGTTGAATTTCTACTTGCTTTGGTTTGGAAAATGTGAATTTTTAAAGGCGAGAGCGTAATTAAGTAGATGTATCTATTACTAGACTGCTAGTTACTCAGCTGGCAAAACTAAGGATTTAGGTAGATTCCGATGAAGCCTTGGCAGTCTTTAGAATGAAGTATTGTCTAAATACGGTGAAAGTTTCAAATTTCTTCTTGCTCTGGTTTGAAAGTCGTGAATTTTTAGAACAGACAGCGCAGTTTAGTAAACTCATCCATTACTGGACTGACTTTTACTAAACTGGAAAAATCAGGGTTCAGCTGGATTTTTATGAATCATTCAGCATTTTTAGAATAAGGTATCCTCTAAACACAGTGAACATTTCAAGTATCTACTTGCTTTAGTTTGGGAGATGTTAATTTTTTAAGAAAAAGGCGCAGTTGCGGCGTCTCATCCACCACTGAGCTGAAATTGATTGAACTGGCAAAAATTGGGATTCTAGGAAATTTTCCTGCAATTTCGCTACTCTGTAAAATCGAGCATCGTCTAAACAAGAAACACAACATCGTCTAAACAACAATATTGTCTAAACAACAAAGATACGATTTTTTAAGGGAACAAACGCAGTTGAGCAAACACATTTTTACCGTGCTGATAGTGAATAAGCTGGCAAAACTGAGGATTCATCACGATTTTTATTGAATATTCAGAATATTTAGAACCAACTACAGTTTAAAAGTGGTAACAATTTCAAATTATTGCCTGCTTTGGTGTGGGATATGCGATTTTTTAAAAGAGAAAGCGCTGTTGTCTAGACATGTCCATTACTAGACTAATATTTAGTGAGCTAGAAAAAATCTGGGTTCTTCATGATTTTTATCAAACTTTCAGCATCTTTAACACCTAGTGTCTTCTAGACATAGTGAAAAATTCATATTGCTGCTTGCTTCCGTTGGGAAGACACGATTTGTTAAGGCAACAAGCGCAGTTGAGTAAACACATTTTTTACCGGGCTGATATTGAATAAGCTGTCAAAACTGAGGATTCCTCACGATTTTTATTGAATATTCAGAATATTTAGAGCCAACTACGGTCCAAAAGTGGTAAAAATTTCAAATTATTGCCTGCTTTGGTGTGGGAGATGCGATTTTTTAAAGTAGAAAGCGCAGTTGTCTAGACACGTCCATTACTAGACTAATATTTAGTGAGCTAGAAAAAATCTGGGTTCTTCAGAATTTTTATGAAACTTTCAGCATCTTTAGCACCTAGTGTCTTCTAAACGTAGCAAAAAATTCAAGTTACTGCTGGCTTTCGTTGGCAAGACACGATTTGTTAAGGAAACAAGCGCAGTTGAGTAAACACATTTTTTACCGGGCTGATATTGATTAAGCTGGCAAAACTGATGATTCCGCATGATTTTTATTAAATATTCAGAATCTTTAGAACCAATCACGGTCTAAAAGTGGTAAAAATTTCAAATTATTGCCTGCTTTGGTGTGGGAGATGCGATTTTTTAAAAGAGAAAGCGCTGTTGTCTGAACACGTCCATTACTAGACTAATATTTAGTGAGCCAGAACAAATCTGAATTTTTCACGATTGTTATGAAACTTTCAGCATCTTTAGCACCTAGTGTCTTCGAAACATAGTGAAAAATTCTAATTGATGTTTGCTTCCGTTAGGAAGACACGATTTTTTAAGGCAACAAGCGCAGTTGAGAACACATTTTTACCGGGCTGATATTGAATAAGCTGGCAAAACTCAGAATTCTGTACGCTTTTTATCAAACGTTCAGCATATTTAGAGCCAACGATGGTCTAAGCGTGGTATAAATTTGATTTTTTTTCTGTTTTGGTTTGGCAGGTGCGATTTTTTAAAGAAGAGGGCGCAGTTGCGTAGGCACTAGCTGCTTCTGAGGTGGAAAAATCGGGATTTGTACGAGTTTTATGAAACTCAGCAGTTTAAGTACAAAGTGCCTTCTGAACAAAAAATCAAATTGCTGCTTGCCTTCGTTGGGAAAACAGGATTTTCTAAAGGAAATAGCGCAGTCGAGTGAACACATCTATTAACCAACCCAGTAAGCTGCCAAAAATCAGGATTGTTCACGATTTTTACCAAACTTTTCGAATTTTTAGAATGATCGATCATCTCAGCGGGGTAAAAACTTGTTGGATCGGCAGATACAATTTTTTAAAGGATAAGTCTATTACCAGACTAAGTTTACTGAGCTGGCAAACATCAGGATACTGGACGGCTCTTATGAAACTTTTCGGATTTTTACAAACAAGTCATTTTCTTATTCAAGTTGCTACTTGCTTCAGTTTGGAAATCGCAGGTTTTTAAACCCGAGAGCGCAATTGAACAGGAAATTTAAACAAGCTAATCTTGAACTAACCCGAAAAATAGGGCAGAAGCAAAATAGAGAGTTTTAAGTCTGATACATACCCAAACATTGAACTTCGCCATCTCCTTGAAATCCTGGCTTGCACTTGCACAGGAAATGTGATGGCAAATTGCAACATTCGGCATTTTGGACACATCGAGCTGCTATCGCTGGATCTTCACACTCGTTCACATCTGCAATCGAACAACAGACGATAAATCCACCGCAATGAGGAGAATTTTGAAATTGCCGCGATGGTGTGGCCTAGAAAGGCCCAATTCACACCATCACTCAGTCCCTGCAGCCAATAAACCGCTTTTTCCGTATTTTATTCGCGCCGAATGAAAATCGTTATTACGGAACATGAATTATGACATATCGGTTTAATGGCAGATACCGATGGCGATACCAAGTCGTTTCGCCATAATGCTAGATCATGAGGGAGGCGCAGAATAGCCTCAAGAATTTACTGCCTCAAAGCCATCCAATTTTGTAATTATCCCCGCATTGGACATGGAGGATTTGAGAGTTATGATCACCGCTTGATTGCCGGGTGATAACTCACGTTGCCCTCAGTTTTTCTTCAGTTCTAGTAGATCAATAACAATGAACAGGAAATTATAGCGTCCAGCCTCCACCTTGGCCTGGTTCGGATATCAATTAACCAGAAACATGAGGATTTATTGAATGATTACCCAGCTACTTACGGGCACGCCCATATATTAGAACCGTTAAAGAAGCTGTGCATAGTAAATTAATTTGAATTTACTTAGTTTTAATGCCACGCTGCTGCAACAAAGCGATCTCTCGCGGCTTCACTTTAATTGAGTAATGCAATTAAGTTTTAATTGGATTTCATTTTTTGTTTGCATCGACAGACAGATCATCGCTAGGATTCGTTTGCGCGATAAATTTTTAATTAAAATGAGTCTCCTCGAGCCACTTTGACCGAACTTCTCAAACTGCTTGCGACTGTGAGGCGACTGTTAACTGTTTCGGTACTTTATTGTTCAGCTGCTCTTCATAAGGTTAAATTCCGACCCTGCAAATGTTCTAGTTAAAAGGCCGAGGCGAAATGTAATAGCGCCTAGGCCAGCGTCGGCCAACTCATAATGCTTCTTCTTCTTCTCCTCCTGTAAGATCAACGGCCTTCTAAGAGCAATGAACCAACTTTGCGAACTCGTACACTTCACGTAACTTTTCACCATTAGCCTACTACTTTATATATTGGGTGTTGCATGCTTTCAAAACTGCGTTTTTAAGGCCTTCGAGGTTCCTCTAGATCGTGCCGAATCGCGCAAAAACCTGAAGATATTTCCACTGCAGGACAACTCAATTTCAGCGGAAATTAACCTCCTTATCAAGAACAGCGCGCTAGCGGTATATGCAAAACGCATTACCAGAAACAGTTTTGTTATTATTTTACGGTGCTTTTGGATTGTTTCAATCTGCCTCACTTCGCGCGAGTTCAAACATGAAATTTACTTGTTTAGCGAATTCTCGTTATCTTTATCAGCTACAGTGGGTTTTTAGCCCAGCGTCGTGCCCGAAGGGCTCCGACATTAAACACTTTTCCTAATGCGATTGTTGTGCCGAGCCCTTTCGAGCACAACACACATTTTTGCGCAAAAACTAATCAATCGTCAGGTTTGGAGTGCTTTCGAGACCAAAACTTCGATATTAAACACTGTATATTAGTTTCCTTCCTGGGCTCCAGCCAACGTGTGAAACAAAAATCTGTATATCGTTTCGGCGAGACAACAGGGCCATCATCAGATTTAAAATTCATACAAACTCATAATTGGTAAACATTACATTCTTTTAGGTCTTTGCTGTCTTGAAACCCTTCAATTTGTTTTTSCGSAAAAACAAATTGAAGGGTTTCAAGACAGCAAAGACCTAAAAGAATGTAATGTTTACCAATTATGAGTTTGTATGAATTTTAAATCTGATGATGGCCCTGTTGTCTCGCCGAAACGTTATAATAACAATTATTAATTATCGTTATAATAACAAAATTAAAAACTTTCTCTAAAGCGATTGTTGTGCGGAGCCCTTTCGAGCACAACACACATTTTTGCGCAAAAACTAATCAATCGTCAGGTTTGGAGTGCTTTCGAGACCAAAACTTCGATATTAAACACTGTATATTTGTGAAACAAAAATCTGTATATCGTTTATTTCATTACGTTTGGACGAGACAACAGCGCCATCATCAGATTTAAAATTCATGTTTTTCCGCAAAAACAAATTGAAGGTTTCAAGACAGCAAAGACCTAAAAGAATGTAATGTTTACCAATTATGAGTTTGTATGAATTTTAAATCTGATGATGGCGCTGTTGTCTCGCCGAAACGTTATAATAACAATTATTAATTATCGTTGTAATAACAAAATTAAAAACTTTCTCTAAAGCGATTGTTGTGCCGAGTCCACCGGGCCCGATACAGATTTTTCCCAAAAACTAATCAACCCTGAGGTTTAGAGTGTTTTGAGTCCAAATTGTGCTCGAATGGATGCGAGGTTCCACACTTTTGGCAATATCGAAATATTTGTTCATCTAATGGAGATTTCCGTGCGTGTTTTGCGTGCTGTGATTCGCCACCATTAAATAAACAGTTGCGAATTTCTTTCGACGAACTGTATTAGCCATTAGCATACATTATTCCATTGAGGAACGAACATGATTCCGTGACATAACTGGCCATTTTACTATTTTTTTGATTAACGGTCCCACAATTAGCCCTGCGGATTTCGATGCTTATCATTATTATTAGGAAGGATTTTCGCCGCCTTCGCAAAGGCACTCGGATGGATAACTGTTGAGCTGGAAAAGCGGTAGTTTTGGCTCATCGAAGCTACGGAAATTTATTGAAACGTCTTTCAGATTCAATTTCTATTTCTTCATTGGCTTTGCTCGTCCAGCCCCATTTTGCGCTTGGAAAAACAGGGTCAAAAACTGTGATTCTTCAATTCCATGCACATTCTGTGCTGCTCAAATTTCAAACAATGAATCCAAACGGCTGCAGACTTGACAAGCTTGAACAAAACTCACTGATACTTCATGAAGATGGAGAAGATTTAGCAAAAAATCTTAATATTTCCATTAAATTGAAGAATTTATAATGAAGACCTGCAAATAGGAGCGACAACGTTCTGCCGGCGAAGAACCACAGATAAATTTCCGGCTGTTAATTTCACTTTTTCCATGCACTGGAAGAAGTTGGAGAATTAATTGCTTTCATCCTAGGCAATTTTACTGTTAGCGCAAGCCAATGATTTTGCTAAACGACGTGCCTTCACTGCCTGCAAAATTAATTAAATGCACGCGTAATGTCAACAATAAATTTAATTGAAATTTATGGACAGAAATGAAGTTTCCTGCCACAGTTTATGGCGTGAATGTGACTCAAGAGTTAAGAAGCAAATTCTTCCAAGTGCTAGAGGAACTGTGTGGATTCCTGACGCCTTTTTGTATTCCCCAGGAATTAACCAGTTTTTGCCAATTTTCCCAAAGTCCCTGATGATGAATGCCACTGAACACCTCCAGTTTCCAGAGACTTTCCAGGGCTTTCCTAAATTTTCTGCTTCAATTTTTGCGAGAAATGTTAACTTTCAAGCACAGGAGGGCAGATTTATTCCTCAAAAGTTAACGAATTTTTTACTCGATGATGGTAGCCATCGAAGCTTTGGGGATTCATAGAAACAAGTTTGCCCTCTTCAGGGTAATCCTCTGAATTTTCCAACTCACATGAACACTTTCTGAGTCAAAAAATGCCCAAGCTGCTCAGTATTTCAGTTTTTTTCCTATTAAGAGCTAGATGAACTGTGAAGATTCGAAAAGCTGGCTGGAAGAAATGGGGCTCTAAAAAGCATATCGCCATTGGCATCGAGGGCCACGCACCATTTAATGGTTCTTTATATGCGTCGAAAAATGTGGGGCACATCTTCAAAATTTCAACTTCTCGCCATTAAGATTCACGATAAGTACCGGAGGTACTTGTTATTCAACGGAATAAGCATACAGTACTTTTGTCCCTTGTTTCGCTGCCAGATATGAATCATCGTAGGAAATTGAATAACCGTTCATGAATTGAATTGTGTTTTGGAACATTTGAATAAGTTTATTGGTACACTGAACAGGTACCATTATGCTGTCGCAACATGGTTTACTATCCAGATTTCTATCTGTGCCTGAGGCCATAAGAAAGGAGCCTCCTTGCCAAGATCCGCAGTTGAACACGTTCAAATCGAGCCATAATCGGTCGGAAAGTGAATCCGAAATTCGCATGAAAGGAATAATGAAGCGCTAATGAACAAAGCCCGCATCTGCTACTCTTCGATGTATCTGGAATCATTTAATTAATAGTCTTGGAGTTGTGTTAACGCACAACTTACCACCAGATTCGCAGATACAGTTCGGATTCTAATGAACAGGAAATTCGCGAATTATCGCACTTTTCACGTTTTAATTACCAGAATGATGGATGGCTTCGGCGTTCTGTTAATGGATAAGCGGCCAATTAATCTCCATGATGGTGGTGGCGGTGCTAAAGATTTCGGCCTTTTATTTTTTGCGCTGCTGGAACGGATTAACGCGCCCGGCCTTTGCCAGTATTCGCTAATTGCAAAATTTTGGAAAAAATCATTTTATAGCCCATAAGGGGAATGGGATCTTGATAATCTGCCGACCCTTAGTCACGATCCTTTGCTGCATGTGCGCACGATATGCAAAATGTACTGATTATCCAAACTTTAATTCTCTAACGAACAAGGGCGGATCGAGCTTTCAAGTCAGGAGAGGCTTCAATTCAATTATTGACTGATTTTGCACAGTGTTATGTAAATATTTTAAATATATGTAACTAATAAAATAAAAAATTAAACGAGAGAAAGTGAAATGCTCCTCTTTCGAGAAATTCAGCTGCAATTTAATATTACTTTATTTATGATGTACGCACAAAGAAAGACACTTGGAGCAAAACCACAATTTGGAAAATGACCCTCTGTAGGCAAAACATTATATTCTTCTAAAAAGTCGGGTACTCGGCCTTAAATGTACTGGAACGTTTTTGGGTGAGAATATTTTGCTTGGAAAATCGTCCAATCCACATTAAAGTCTTCATCAATGTTAACTTTTTCAACTAATGTTCATGTGTCAAACATTTTTTTTTCAAAAAGTTGCATACTCTCATTCGAACTCGCTTTGCTTACTTGCTGCTGCCGCTATCCAATATGAGGCTGGAATAGTTTTTATAGCTACTTCTTCGGGCTTTTTGCCTGTTTTAGAACTTTTGAAATATTTTGCCATTTAACCGAGTTAAGGGCAAAAGAATGGAGGTATGCGCAAATGGTACAGTCGAACAGTTGCCAATATTCAGGGCTTATTACTTCCCAAAGCGTTGCCAATCTCGATTTTTGTCAAGACAGTCGAACTCTAGCGAATACCCGTGGCAATCCAGGGCATTTCTGATTTTTTTAATATTTGCAACAGTGGGGGAGTTATGGGCAAATCAGCGTGCAAACAATGTGAATGGCAGTTTAAGTCTCTCTAACTCCAAACTCCTTTTACTCCGAAACTATATAAGAAAACGATGTTATTGGGAAGTGGAACTTTGGTCTAAATACGACTCTTAAGTGAAAATTTTGCACATTTGCG